ATAGGTTGAACCAAAAAATAATCGATAAAAAGCAAGTCCAAAAAATAATCAATAGTATACAAAAAACAAAAACAAGTTAAATAAAATGAAAATTCTTAAATTCAATCAAATTCAGTTCATTTTTCATTTTAAACGAGCTTGACAAATGAAAATTGGGCCTATTATTTCAAAAGTGAGCCTGACAAATGCATATTTTTCTTCTAATGTAAGTAGACAACTAAAAGTTCATTATTTGCCTCTGCAAAAAATAGAGGGATGATTCTACAAAGGCTGAATCTCCAAGTTACTGCTTCCAATATCTTCTCCAGATGAAGATTGATTCTCCTGATTCACACCAGCCCTTATCTCTTGAATTGCACAAGGGTTAACGATGGTTGTTGGCAAGACAACATTATCAAATAGATGATTCTTCATCTCTTTGTGCTCTTGACACAGGGCACACCAATACAACAAGCAATGCACCATACACAGTCCCAGGGTGAATCTTGCAGAACGAAAGGACATATGCAATTAATAAAACAGCTAACCAGCACAAAAATAAAATAAAATCTGCATCTGAAGCAAAGATGCAGCAAATTCATTGGGTTGTCAAACCAATTTGTAGGGAGAACATCCATAATGTTTTCTTGAAGTAGTCTTGGATCATACAAAAACTTTATGCTCGAAAGAATGGCATGACACACAAACTGAAAGATCTTTCCCAAAAAAACATAATTCATTCAAAGAAATACACCAACCCACACTAGTCCAAATGTAGACAACAAAAACATAAAGGCAGTAATTCTAAAGCTTGTTTTCCTGCCATTATAGCAATTGAAAAATGATGTAGTTTTGGGCCTCATTCAACTTGAATTTAGAAGAACCTATAGTTATAAAAAAAAATGGCAGCAACAAGAAAAAAAATAAGAAAAGTAGATCTCATTAAATTATATATCCATTTTTTAAATATGCTTCTCCTGTGAAGAACACTTCAAGATTCAGTATTACATATGTTTTCCATTTTTCACCATCAATAATATAAATTTGGAAGTAAATTAGCAGCTTGCAACTGTTGTACATTGCACTCACATACACATGCATGCAAGCACAAATTCTCCAGGGCATTAGCTTTTGTATTACTTGTAATTCTACGTTTTTGTCTCTGGCTCACTGCGATGATGAAAGAAATGGCTCATTGCGATGATGAAAGAAATGGTTGTTTGTAAGACCACAATTGTCCTACAGGAACGTTGTCCATCACTTTTTTTCTAATTAGGATTTCAGCTAAATTATATTAGCCTTTTGTATGTCAAGAATCATCATTTTTTCAAAAGAAAATGAAATATTACTAATAGACATGTGAATTGCAGGTTACTTTCAAGGTCCTCCATTGTAAAAATAAAAAAATTCAAAAGCAGTCAAAAACATGTGTTATTGTATTTCGAAAGCAATTCATTTACAATCCATAAGGACTGAAGATCAATCTTAAATATATTTGTTTTCAGGCCATTGGCAGTGAGAAAGGTCGAATAGAGCACTTTTGAAATGGGGTAATCAAGCTTCGATACCAATTCTACCCCTAAGGGTGGCCCCTCCGACACCACCAAGTCTAACTGTAAGACCCTGTACTAAAATTAAATAAGAATACTAATATCTTAAGAGTTTTTCAAATATGAATAAAACGAGGATAAAAACTTAGAATCATTGTTGAAATATTAATCATGAAGTTTGAATTTCGAACGGATTGACTTTTGGGTCAAACTTAATTGTTTTTTTAGATGTGTTTAAGATTGATAAGGGTAACTAAATAAATATATTATTTTTTTTTATCAAAATAAAATTACCATTGAATTCGGGAGGTCGGAAAACATTGGGAGAGGTAATATGGGATGTATTAGAAGTTAGGAAGTATTTTAGAAGTAAAACCAAATTGGAGTGAAATTGGGTAAAAAGGGGTGATGGACACTGCTTAGTATTTTGATCATAACTTTATATTTTGATGTCCAATTGATCTGAAATTTTGACAGGAAATAGTAGACATCTAGGGCTACAAAAGTGTATTTCATGAAAAATTTCCAATTCGACCTCTAAATGGGTCAAAACTGACCTGGAAGTCACACCAAAAATCTGTGAACAGTACGAAGGAAACCCGATTTTTTCTGAACAGAAAATATCGGGTTTTGCTCGATTTTCTTGCCCTATAAAAACCTAATGTCGTCCCTTTAGCATTCATTTCACCCCTCCAAACCCTAGGAACCATTTTAGAGGAAGAGAGGAAGATAGAAATACCAATCAAGAGGGATTTATACCTTGTAGAAATCAAAACTTCAAATTCTTCAAGAATACATTCTCCTCCCATTTTCTTCCATTCTTGCTACCCTCTCACCCAAATCTTTTGAAACCCTAGGAGGAGAAGATTAAGAGGAAAAGAAAGGAGAGCAAGAAGGTCTTGAAGCTTGGGTCTTAGCTTGGAATCTTGATTTAAGGTAGGGGATTTTCTCTCAATCTCTCACATTGAGGCTAGATATATATATATAGATATATATATGTATATAGATATATGTTTCTTCACTCTCCTTCTCATATATATAATATGAAATACATGATTCTTCTTCTATTTGTAATAAATGTCATGTTTTCANATATTAATCATGAAGTTTGAATTTCGAACGGATTGACTTTTGGGTCAAACTTAATTGTTTTTTTATTTGGTTGGATGTGTTTAAGATTGATAAGAGTAACTAAATAAATATATTAATTTTTTTTTTTTCAAAATAACATTACCATTGAATTCGGGAGGTCGGAAAACATTGGGAGAGGTAATATGGGATGTATTAGAAGTTAGGAAGTATTTTAGAAGTAAAACCAAATTGGAGTGAAATTGGGTAAAAAGGGGTGATGGACACTGCTTAGTATTTTGATCATAACTTTATATTTTGATGTCCAATTGATCTGAAATTTTGACAGGAAATAGTAGACATCTAGGGCTACAAAAGTGTATTTCATGAAAAATTTCCAATTCGACCTCTAAATGGGTCAAAACTGACCTGGAAGTCGCACCAAAAATCTGTGAACAGTACGAAGGAAACCCGATTTTTTCTGAACAGAAAATATCGGGTTTTGCTCGATTTTCTTGCCCTATAAAAACCTAATGTCGTCCCTTTAGCATTCATTTCACCCCTCCAAACCCTAGGAACCATTTTAGAGGAAGAGAGGAAGATAGAAATACCAATCAAGAGGGATTTATACCTTGTAGAAATCAAAACTTCAAATTCTTCAAGAATACATTCTCCTCCCATTTTCTTCCATTCTTGCTACCCTCTCACCCAAATCTTTTGAAACCCTAGGAGGAGAAGATTAAGAGGAAAAGAAAGGAGAGCAAGAAGGTCTTGAAGCTTGGGTCTTAGCTTGGAATCTTGATTTAAGGTAGGGGATTTTCTCTCAATCTCTCACATTGAGGCTAGATATATATATATAGATATATATATGTATATAGATATATGTTTCTTCACTCTCCTTCTCATATATATAATATGAAATACATGATTCTTGTTCTATTTGTAATAAATGCCATGTTTTGAACAATATGAAGGGTGGGTAACCACCAAAGCTCTATTGATTTTTTTTTATCTTCAAAACCCTAGTTTTCAAGAAAAGGAGATTTTCTCCTAATTTCTTCTTCTGTCTTTGATTTTAAAACTTTAGTGTTGAATATTGTATAACAAAATGATATAGATTACGATCTCTTGCATATTTTCTTGGATTATTCGATTATATGACAAATGTGAAAACAAAATTGGGGATTTTACTATATTTGGGAAATTGTTGTGAATTGTGAATATTCTTGATTTCCTCATTGTATGGTTGTTGTGATGGACTTGGATTACCTTCGAGAGATGCCGTAGAGTGTTAGAGGTTAGTCTATCCCAATGGGGGGTGAGATGGTTGCCTAATGCTCGTAGTGGATCGTTGTTGTGCTCGCGATCACTATTGTTCACATATACACCGAGGAAAAGGGTTAGTATACTAGACACCTTGGGAGGATTTCGTCAATGCCGTAGGAGACGGTACACGCCCTTCCTAAAGAGATTTGTGATTATTGGTTGGAATTGGTGGACTAAGCATGATCGTTAGGTAGATTCACGAGAAGCAATCAACATACATGGTACGGGGATGAACCAAAAATACATGGAATCGGGAGTTGGGTCGTTCTTGCCGATGCATTGGTATGGGACAATGCTTAGGGAGAAGCCCTTCTTAAATAGCTTAAATTAGAATTTTGTTTATCGATGCTAAACTCACTTTATTCTTTTAACTGATTATTGCTATTGTTTAAACTTGAGATCTCTTTTAAAATGTCACTGTTTTCATTCCAAACCTATATATATGTTAGTTGTGAAATGAGACCGACCGTTTGCTATGTTTTTCAAACCTTGTTTGAGTTGAGAGGATTTTGCTACAGAGCTTCGTGCTCACCCCCTACAAATAAAATTTTTTCAGATTTCACACTTGAGGAGGAGTTAGGAGCCGAGGAGCCCACCCATTGGAAGACTCCGCTTGACGGGGATGTGGATCCCGAGGTGGACGCTTAGAGCGACACTTTTATTTTGTTCTAGACTAGATTATGCTTAGAATATCCTTTTGAACTCTAGTTCATTTCTGTTATTTCCGCTGCGTTATATTATTACATTTTGGAGATGTAAAGGCCAAGATTAGACCTATTAATTTGGGATGATAGTGTGGATATGACATATGATGAATGCAAGTTTATTTTATGATGGAAAAATGGACCCGGTGTGGTCAATAGTTATGCATATGTGGACCCGGTGTGGTCAATTGTAATATAATTGTACAGGTTGTGTTTTGGGTAGAGCTCCCCGTACAAAGGAGACTCTGCCCAAATTTTGTTAAAATATGAATGGTTGATGAATGAAACTTTCGTCGTGATGAATTTTACTTAATGCTCTCATACGGTAAATGGTTTTTAGAATGTAATGTCACCCACGGGGGTTTTTGGGGCGTTACACTAACACTAATGATCCGAGCACATAGTGCTGGCCAATAGTCTCACTCAAGAAGCCAATTATCAGAACAATGATGAAAATGGCAGAAATTAACGACTCCCCTATAGGTTCCCCTTCCGGCTTTCGTTTTAAAATTTGTAAAATTGCTGCCCTGGCAACCACAAGTGCAATTGATGACAAAGTACCCCACAATGGGTTCAGGGGATGGTCATTTTTGGCCTGCAGGGCTGCAAAACCTACTACTGTCAAGGAAATGCCAAGCATATCACAGAACATGGCTGAAGATAAAGCGAGGAGTTCGAGGTCTTTGTTGAGGATTTTGAGCTTAGTTAGTAGGTAGGCTATGTCTGGGAAATGCGTTAGACACTGTGATAATTTTATAGCCTTAAGGGGTCTATCTCTATCAAAAAGAAAATCCATCAATTATAGAAATCTAGCAAACCATGCTTTTGTGAGAAATTTTCTCAAACACCTTCAAAGCAAGACTCAAATAACCACAACCCAATTACAAACAGGCGTTGTTACAACAATATATGAAAACACTTACATATGTTTATAGATATATTCAACAATCTATGTGAAAAGTGAACAATATAGAGAAGTAAACAAAGTATATGCTTGTAAATCAAATTCATATCTCCAAAACCCTAGAAAAAGATGAAGTATCGGTACAATGAAGAGTTTCCATCAACCATCAACCAAACTATAAAATGATAAATCCCATGGGCCAATTGAAGAGTTACCTGAGATTAGTGGCAATGCCAAATCTAGCCTACTCCTCAATCTTGTCCCTGGCATCACAAAGAGATGAGGAAGAATTTGACAATGGCTGGGGAGGGATGGACTATCATATTAGACCAAAATCAATTTTTTAAGTGTAAAAACTGAATTTTTGGTTAAATTTGAGCCTAAATTAAAGTGGGACCCGTTGGTTATTTCGAACAAATTTTTGTGGGTTCATATTCTACTTCGTGAGGAGAATAATGTAGTATATTCACTTGCTCAAATCGAGTAAGAAATGAATGAGAAAATAGACTCCAAAGTTACCCTCTTGAAGTGTGAAAATAGAGGATGTGTAATGTGAGATTTGACACCAATCCCACATTGGTTGAGGAAGAAATTCAACATGGACAAATATAGGTCAAGTTTGCTCTATGGGATTGGGCCCTAAGGGGTACCACAGTTTTATAAGCGGAGTGAGCGCCTACATGCCTTCAGTTCAACCACACACGCACCGCCCGCCTGCCTCGCCTCTCCACGATCTGACCTGGCCAGGCCGGGGTTGGGGGTCGGGTACGGGTGTGGTTTAGACTAAGCCCTATATTTTTGGAGAAAATTCGTTTAATAAATTGGACGAAAATTTCTTAACCCAAAATTTAATTTTCGGTATCCTTTAAATTGCACTAATTCGAATTTGGGCATCCATCCGATTCGAAATTTTGAGTTGGGCATCCATCCAATCCAAAATTTAATTTTCGGTATCCTTTAAATCGCACTAGTTATTCAAGGTGTCTATTGGCTGTTGTGTCTTGTTATTTTTGGTTGTGTCTTTTAGTGTGGTGGCTGTCTGAAAAGTCACCAAAATGTCTATAAATACTCAGGATCATTACTATTTTGCATCTATTACAATTATCAGTATCATTCATTCATCAAAGTTAAGTTAGACATTAGTGCATAGCATTATCGGCATTAAGAAGTCTGTATTTGGAAAGTACACAACACAACTTTAATAACAGTTCCTGTTGTGCAACCTGGTTAGTATTTATTTTGGTTTGACAAGCAGTTACGTGTAACTGTTTGATGTTATTGTTTCATAAGATTGTTGTAACTCTTTCATGTAAGACTGGTTCTGTGTAACTTTTTTCTTACTGTTTTGTTATACATTACAAGTTTCAAATCAGAAATTTCAATAAGTGATTTTACAATTTTGGAACACCAGAAACAACAATCATGTTTCCCGCTGATGAAGGAAAAGTCACATAGTTAAAGTGAGAAGAAGGGAGGAGAAGAGGGAAGATAGAGAGGAGAGAAGAAGGATGGGAGCTGAATGATGAGCACTGATGAGAGGAGCGAGAGATAGAGAGGAATAGGACTATCATTTTTCGTCGACTTAATTTAGGGCGATTACCGACGGTAAAGGAATGACTAATAACTTGTTTTATTTAAGAATGGCTAATCCCATTATTTATGAGATTAGTTATTCCTTAGGAATTCATTCCTTAGAAATGGGAATGAAAGTTTATTCCCACAAATCAAACAAAGGAATGAGTATTACTAAGGAATGAGTATTTCATTCATAAGGTTTAATACCATGTACTAAACACAGCGTAAGAGTTCAGGAAAGTGGGACATAGGCAAACATGTAAAATTCGTAGGTTTATCTTTCTATTATAATTGTGTAACTTTAATTGTTTTTTATTACCAATTGTATTTGTCCAAGTGGCTGTTTGTTTATGCTTCTAGAGAATTTTTGTTTATGTGACATGGGTGTATGCTTTGTTTTTGTCATCCTTGGGAATTATAATAGTTTTGTTGCGTGACTAGATAATAAGTTTAGATTCTAATTTTTTTTTAGCTTAGTTTGGGTATATCCCTTATTTTTAGTAGAATTAGCCTTTTAGGTTTGATTTGATACAATCCATTGGTTTGCATTTTGTATTTAGTGTGGAGGTTTTTTTTTTGTTAGTTGAATTAGTAGCAGTAGCCGATGACTACAATGAAAGACACAATGAATGAATTAATGAATAATAGAAGTCTCCGATAAAATATACCATCCTCATGCTCTGCCCCAATGGGAAGGATGTCAAGTGTAGGTGAGTTCTTTATTATGAAAGTCTAATATGTTATGTGGCTGGTGCTCGCATGGATTGTGCTAATTTCGTAATTTTGAGATCTAAATTATAAAGATTTCTTGGGTTTATTGTGAGTTTTGAGGATTTTGGTTATTGGAATATGGGTAATTATATCTTACAAATTTTGCACAACGAATTTAACCCATTGTATATAACAAAAGAACCCAAGTTTGGATTCCTTTAATTCTTCACAGTGAATTTTTTGAATTATGATCGTATGGCCTCTCTCACTCTCCCAAATAAATTATTTCTCACTGTTACTAATTAAGTCAAATATCTACCTTTCACTTGCTATTTTTTTTTTGTTTCAAAACTCTGAAGAAACTTGGAATTGATATGCTAACTTAGAATTGTTGCAGCCATTCACAGAGAGTCTTAAAACCAAATGAAGTTCGTATTTTTGGCAATGGAAAGAATTGGATTTCAATTATTGAGTTGAGAAGTCAAAGTTGTGTGTGAGATTTCCTTCCACTTGGTTTTTACTCCATGGTACAAGTTTTTTGCATTATAAGTTTTCTATACACGTCCTTCCGCTTGTTTTTTTTGTTATGTCAGACAATTGTGTTTATATGTGAAAGTGTATTTACCTAATGTGTACATTTGAAAAGCTTTGGTAGTTTGATATATTACTTTCTACACCTGGAAATTGAGGTTGTGATGTGGTTGGAAATACTGCCATATCGTAGAAAGGAATGAGCATATTTTGGTTGCTACTGCTTTTTATCTCATGTTGTGTATATAGACAGAGAAAGTAAATTTTTCAAAGTTTAATTTGTTGGATCAAGTATATGGTGTTTAGGACTTTATTCATTTTTTCCCCAAGACTTGTACCACATTTTGATTGATTTTGTTTTGATCCACCACTCGGTCCTTCTTTATTTAAATTTTTATCTCTTTTCTTTTGGTAGATTTGGAATTTGATAAAATTTAGTTTGTTTAGATGTGCTTTGTTGCATTAAATAGTGAAGTTTGCAGCAATACTTAGAGGTTTTCCTGCACTTGGTTTAGTGTATAAGAATTATCTTGCATTTGGTAAGTGTGGTAACAATACTAGAAGATGGGTATTGGGAGTTTCTACTACCATGTTCCTTCTGATTTGTTTTATAGGAATTCAGGTGGCATTTGAATTCCTATTTCTGTTTGGGTATGGAGACAAAGCTTTTGGGAGCTTATGTTGTTCTTTACAGGTGGTTGTCATCCCTGTTCATTCGTTTTGGCCACATTATCCAAACAATGATCTACTTTGTGTACAAATCATATCACCACAAGAAAATTGATAAGCATTCACGTAGCTGATCATCTTAGGGTTTACCTGGGGAGGGGGGTATGTTCCTCTATACAGGAGCGAAGTCAGGATTATATTCTAGTGGGGGTAAAATATAAATGAAAAAGATTAATCAATTGATATAAAAAGTTCTCTCCCACTTCCAATAACAAGGATTAATAAATTTTGCAGAATTGTTTTTTAAAGTTCAAGTATGAGAAACATATTGACATAATCATACTACCTATAAAAGTACACAAATGTGTAGAACTTTTGTTTTCCATTTTTAACCATCACTAATTATTTTAAGTCTATTTTATCCTTCTAACATATATATATATATATATAACCTACAAAACAGAAACCTTCCTCTACAGTAAATGAATCAGTTGGCCATCAAAAGTCGAACTGCTTCATCTTCCATGGCCTTGTTAACGTCACAGATAGCTAAGACATTCAATTTGCTATTTGAGACCTTATCGTCTTCCGGCTTGGCCATTTTTAGATCTTCTTCAATGACAACGAAGGAGTATCGAAATGAATTTTACAGCAATGTAGTTTAGTGTTGCTGCATCAACAATTGAACAAATATGTAGCTTTCGGTATCGGAGACTATGTTGGATCAAAACAAAGAAGAGAAGTCTTCTCCTGAAACCACTGATGATGTCAATTTGGGGTCGGAGAGAGAAAGCCCTCGCTACCATCTTTGCCACTATTCTCTCTGCAATCCTTATTAACCCTCTTGACGTTGCGAAGGTGGTTTTTTTTGATTTTTTTGATTCAATGTTATATTTAATTTTCTTAAATGATACACATTAACTACTTTGTTTTACCTTTTAAGAATTCTTAGTATTCATATGCAACTGGAATTATTAGCCTGAGGCTTGGTATGCTTGTTTTCCTATTGTAACATGCTATTTGTTCTGAATTGTGACACCCGTTTGCAAATTCTTCATTTTCCCTGAAACATTGTTTGATGTTGTTTTTTTATTTTTGGCATTATTATGTGATAATTTTATGTCGTTCTTACTCCTCTGCAACCATTTATTATTTGATTAGAAAAGTGTACACTACTTTTAATTTGTTCTCAGCGAAACGAAAGTCTCATCTGAGAATTCCAGTCGATGATGGGAGTTCCTCACCTCTGGATGATGGTGTTTTTGATCTTCAAACCCATCGCTTGTAAACCCCAACATGATTATAGTAATGTCATAATAAATTGTGTAGTAATTTTAATATATGTAATGACA